GGTCTGCTTTTCTTTCATCATATCTTCTATGGAATGCTATATAAGGCAGCTCCTTTGGACTTCATGTTCTGAGGATGCGCCCCGCATTCGACTTCCATTCCGAATCGTAGTGGCCAATTGAATGCGTACGTGATCTAGACTGATGACTTGCGGTGATTAGCCGATGTACAAGCCTGTGCTTTTATCTTTCTAGGCGAGTTTGGTACAAATTAGCCGATTCCGGAGCGATGTAAGGCTTGGTTGGCCTAGGTTGATATCGAACCCGCGGCCATGTGTGCGTGATAGTGCGCCATTTGCCACTGCACAACCTCCGCCCTAGATTTATTTACATAATTATATTATACGTATATCGGTGGTGTCCTATATTTACATACATTTTTATTTGAACTATTACTTCCACAAACTCAGTGAATAGCTTAGTGAAGTGGATAAACATTGGACAAATAAACAATTAAATATGTGAGTAAATGATGTGTTCTGAATCATCACCGCTGTTAATCGCATTCCTCATATTACGTCAAGAAGTTGCCTATCTTTAAGAATTACATCAGAGATTAATAGCTTGTTTACATTGGCTTTACAATGTAAGCAGGTAATAGACGGCTGTTCGATTAGCTATTTGAGCTGTACCCTGCTTACCTAAATGTAGATCCTTTCTTGATTTCAGCATTCGTAAATTTGGCATTTTTCTTTTTAAGGAGGCAATCAACAAAAACCAAAAATCAATAAAATTAATCAAAATATTTATCGAGCAAAAAGCTTTCAGAAAAGGTCCTTTAAAATTGATTTATTCTTTATTAACTGTAGAATTTTTTTTCAAAAAAATTGTTTTCTTCCAAGATTACGGATTCAAGTTAGGGTTATCGTCTCGATTTTTGCCTTTCCACATATTTCGTGCAAAATCAGGGTGAAAGTATGCCTCAAAATTATTATTTAATCATTTATTTATTTATTTATATGACTATTTTATTGTTTGATGAATCATTCTTATCATCATACATCTATGTACGTCATATGGTTTAATTGACTTTATTTCATCATTTAGCAACTATTATTCTAATTTAATGCTCACCGATTTATCTGCGTACTTATTTGTTTATTTGTTTATTCACTTATTTATTTATCTATTTATTTATTTCTTCATTTTACATTTACCATCCTGTAAAACTCGAAAAGCCACGTTTTTTGTTTTTTCCAAAAAAAAATTTCAAAAATGGCGACTTTCATACATTCAAGCCGAGGAAGAAAGGTCGGCATTCATATTGGTCGGCTCCATATTGTTTAGGGAAAAAACCTTCGTGCTTTTTGAAATATCGCCTCAAAATCGCCCGTCTTTGATTTGTCACACATGGAGGGGCATCTCAAGAGATCGGAAAAAACCATGTCTATCCCAATTGTAGGCGATTTTCGTAAAATATTCTCTCTTCCTCAGAATGTAATGCAAGATGTCTCAAAGGAGATGTTTGAATTCGCTGGATCGGAATCTTCAATGTTCTGTGAGCTCAATTTTTTCAAATGGATTTCCTTCTTCTCAAAATTGTATTCACTGTGATACTCTACTCGTCTGAAAATAGGTTTTCTCTACGAGGTCTTCGATAATGATTTTTTTCTTTTTTGGCCCCTGACATCTCTTTTGTTTTTGTCATTTTCGCATTGATTGATGTACTCGCGCAGTTAGTGAGAGCTTAAGGCAGTGCCAAGTGGTAACTACTACTGATGTTGTCAGGGGATCAAAATCTGGACCGATACTTGCTTGGGGTGTGAATAAGTCCGATGTAAAAAAGAATGAAATGTATGTCGGTTCATTCTCAAAGGTCATTATGTAGAGGAGTTCGAGTGTATGGGCGCTATCCCTTAAATGAATCGTGAATCGTTACCGAAGAAATAGCTTGTATAGTGTTTGTAATGTAGGATGAGAAGGATAAAGTTTCAGGGCGTTAATCAACCCGGTCTGAGGGATGCGCCCATGCATTCGACTTCAATTTGGAATCTTAGTGTGGCGTATTAAATGCGTATGGGGTCTATACAATGACTCGCGGTGGCCAGCCGATGTGCAAGTCAGAGTTTTTATCCTCCCAGGCGAGTCCTGCAGCAGTTAGTCGACCCCGAAGGGGCGGAAGGCTTGGTTGGTCTAGGCGGATATCGATCCGGGATTCGATCCCGTGCCATGCGTGTGTGATGGTGCACCACTTGCCACTACACCACTTTCGCCCAATAAACATATATGGTATGATTGAGTGAGGAATTTTGATATAGGTTAGTGTTGACAATGCCGAAATTTAGTACTTAATCCATTTGTGGGAATGAGCGTGAGAATTGATGAGAGGTTCATAGGAAACCCCAAATGGAAGTTTCGTGCAAGAAAAATGTTCTTCTACCTGCACTTTTCATTGGCGACCCATATCTTATAGTGTTTTTGGGCATTGAAACCCTATAAAAACAAATATTTACTTTCCTATAACAAACGGATATCGTTGTTTTAGCTTATGTATGCAGATAGAGAACATNATAAACATATATGGTATGATTGAGTGAGGAATTTTGATATAGGTTAGTGTTGACAATGCCGAAATTTAGTACTTAATCCATTTGTAGGGAATGAGCGTGAGAATTGATGAGAGGTTCATAGGAAACCCCAGATGGAAGTTTCGTGCAAGAAAAATGTTCTCCTATCTGCATTTCTCATTGACGACCCATATCTTATAGTGTTTTTGGGCATTGAAACTCTATAAAAACAAATATTTACTTTCCTATGACAAACGGATATCGTTGTTTTAGCTTATGTATGCAGATAGAGAACATCGACATTAGCCACAGACGTTTTGGGTCAGATTTCACCCGAAGAGATTGAATGTCATACGCGGGGACGCCCTCATGGACCATCATTTCGCCTTCATCCACATACTTTTCGATAATAGGAACTTGTTTAATCTTTCCCAACTCGGCCAGTTTATTTTTCCCGACTTTTTCAGGGAGGATGTTTTTTCAATACAACCGTTTCGAACTTTTTGGAAAATTTGAAAGTTACAAGCAGTTTTTCCGGAATAAGCCAAACTCCCCTACATCTCCCTGAATGTGCTCTCATGGGACATGCTCTTCTAAAGTTGGTGGATTTCCAAAAATCAAAATTTCGTTCATCATTCGATGGTATGGGCAAGTAAGATAAAGTCCGGATAATTTGTTCAATTGGGGACATCAGTTCCGGGAACTCGTCATTTCTTCTTCTTTGTTACCTATTTCGTGATAATCCTCGATGGAGGGAGGGAAGGAGAGGGATCGAGGTTGCCTAGTACTTTTTTTATTTTTTGAGTCAGAAGCTCTCCAAAAACCAGGAAAAATCAGTACTGAACACGCAGCCCAACTTGAAGTTAGGAAACTTTGGGGCTCTAGAATAATATATTAGGATATTGGAATGACTTCAGATTAGCTTGGATCGAAGGCAACTCATGGAAAGCTACACACAAGGATAGCTTCACTTTATGAATATTCACAGTGATTGGTATTTTCCATTTTAGATACATAGATACTATTCAGCTAAGTCAAAAGAATTGAAAATTCATAAAGATATCGTTTGTTTATTGAAATCATTCAAAACATCGATCAATACGCACATTTCTCATGACGCCATGGCTTTCATAGCAGTACCCCGTAAATCTGCGCTGATTAGCTGGGTGGCGTGCTAGTGCCTCGTCAGATATTCTGCTTGGTTTACATAACACCTCAATTTCTCTTTGGGAATATTCGCCTTGTAAGATGAAATGGCACACTATAGTAATGTAATACAATATTGTAAAATAATTGTAAAATTTGTAAAATATAATATACAGTATATAAAACAATAAAGTCTATCAAAAGAAGAATGAAGGATAAAGTTTTTTAGCGTTAATCAACTCCCTCTGGGGGTTGCGCCGCGCATTCGGCCTCTATTCAGAATCGTAGTGGCGTATTAAATGCGTATGTGGCCGATACAGTGACTTAAGGTGGCCAGTCGATGCTCAAGGCAATGCTTTTAACCTCCCAGACGAGTCTGGTACCAATTGACCGACCCCGGAATTAAGGAAGGCTTGGTTGCTCTTGGCGGATATCGATCTGAGATTCGAACCACTTACCATGCGTATGTAGTAATGCGCCACTTGCTACTACACCACCTCCCCAAATAAAGTGAAATGCATTCATGAAAACAATGGATAGGTAGATTAATCCAATATGAGGTTTTTCGATATTTTATCCTCCGTAGCCCCCCCCCCCCCCCCATTTTTTCTATCTTGTGATTTTTTTTTGATAATGCTCGACAGCGTGGCGCTTCTTGAGAAGATGTCAATTATCGTTTGACGCTTTCTATTACTCTGAGCTCCATTCATATAGCGTTTGGAATGCTTGAAATGGAAGCTTATTCGAAGTGATGGTTCTCCAATCCTTTGTGGTCCAATCTTTCATGGCTAACAGTGTTCCGCAATTGTCTAACTTTTCGACTGATCGCTGTTTTCGTAGAAATTTTTTTTTGTTTTTTTTGCAAATCTTCTCTGCCTCGAAGATATTCCACACTCACGTCGAGTCGACTCTACCTCTGCTTATCGTTCAATCCATTGCTAATACATTCAAATTGAATTTTCATCGCTTTCAGATTGTACGACAGTCGAAAGCCAGAGGGGAGGGTTAATGCCCTCCCTAAAACAATGCAATTCCGTTTGAATTCACTATATAGCAGATTGTATGCTCTTACCGTAATCATATTGATCGGTTTATTATCCATTACAATCAACGTGGTGAATGCTGAATTGGAGTTGGATGCCACTGCTGGACTGGTAAGTGAAGGATTCTTTCAAAAATATAAACTCTAACTGCATAAATAGCGGCTCTTTTTTCAATGGACAATCACGTTTGAAACTTTTTTAACCACCGTTTTTGTAACGGTCAGCTCCTTTTACCGTACTTTCTACGTGTTCGCAAAATCTTACTGTAACCGTAGACGATAACAGTAATATCAACTAGTTTGTTGAGTGCTTCAAAAAAGTGGATTCTACCCATTTGAAGAGATAACCGCTGAGAAATACGAAAAGTTAGATATGATTGGGTGCTAACACCTTGATTTTCCACTAACACCTTGATTTTCCAACATGGACTTTACTTTCTGATCCCTATCGCAATAGGTCTAAATTTTCTGAAAACTTTGCTACTGTGTTATTGAACCGCCCAGGAGCTGGGACCATCTCATGAGCATTCGCCAAATATTGCTTGATCTTTTTTTTGAAACAGTTACCTTATTTATTCATATTTCTTTTCTTTTAATCATTATCGACAAACAAAAATTCTGACACATTTATTAATTACGACCCTTAACCTCCCAATTCGGTCTGAATTTTCTATGGGCTTTGATCCCGAGGATAGTTTTGGCTTAAAGGTCAGTCGCTGAAGGCCTCTACACAACTCACTGTCACGAGTGCCCTACTGGTTAGGCTTCAAGGTGTCTGGGGCTCATTTCAAAAAAGCTAAGGCTAGGTACCTGAGATTTAATGTAAAATATCCTACTCAATTTCGTCTCATTACACTATGGTTCCATGGAATGATCGTGTTCTCGAATTTGCATGAGGCGGGCCTTACAATGATGCATTCGAGTCCTAGTGATGCCATATTCATGTTGAAAAGGCAAACGACCAAGGTGTCTTGGCATATCTTATTTAGCTCCACCGTCAGGGTATGCCTAAGAAAACTTCAGGCCGAATTTCAGAAATTTCCAAGGGTCGTCCAATTTTTGCCAAAACCCCATTAATCGTTCATTTATTCATTTATCATGCCGTTACACTGAGGCAAACACTAATGATTACTGCTTTCTTACCTTTGTAGCGATAAGGCCAATAAGCGAAAAATCGATTATCGATTTTTTTCAGCAGGTGGAATGCATTCAATGTGTACAATTATGGCGATCGGCATCACAACGTGAAACGAAGGCCTGTGGACCGCATGCGAAAACATGCAAAGGAAGTGCATGTTTTATGCGTAAGTTCACATAAACAAACAATAAACAACAACACCACCTGTCCAATCAATTAACGATTATCTTCCTAGGCCAATGTAAACACTGCCCTATTTACCAGTATATGTCCGGATGTGTGAATTTAACTCCGTGGCAATTGGCTGACATAGAAGTAAGTAATCATGATGGAAAACTCGTTTTTTTACTCTTCTCACATTATGTCATATTATTTTGTTTGTTTTTCACCGAAATTATCTGAAACTCACACGAGAACTGCAAATATAAACTTATGATTGGAATTTAATTTTTTTTGATTCGAATACTTTCTTTGGTCGATTAATTTTTTACCGATATTTTAACCCATTGCGTACCGCGTGCTGCACATGGTGAAGCACGCCCCTCCGCCTCTGCGCGCCCGCATTTTCGTCCAAAATCACTCTAGAGTTTTGATAAAGTTTGAACAGTCCATACTTTGCGATTCGCTCAAACAACCGCTCTGTGTGGCTGAGTGCTGCACGCCGTGAACCACGTCGTCCGCTCGATTTCGAAGTAATCGCCGGGCACATTCGGCAGCTAGCGCAAAACACTGCGGTACGCAATGGGTTAAAAGGCATTTTGTGGATCGTTACCCGTAGAATTTGGTGGGTACTCCCATTGCTTGTATGGCTCTGGATTGGGTGTCGGTATTTAGGTCCAAATCTACTTACTTCGTACCTTCCTCGCTCATCCACTCACTCGTGGGGGCCATCCTTGTGGGGTGACCCTAATTGGTTGGCTGGTGATCTTTCTGGTAGTCTGAGTGTACTGATATTGATTTTACAAGTTAAAAGCTTTATTGTTATTATTCTTATTATTATCATTATTATTACACATTTTGAAATAATATGCGGTAATGACACGACAATGTAAGAGTTCAAAATCTTCATATATTATATGGGAACTATGAAGCCTTATTGGTGACGTATCTAGACATTTTCCTGCGGAACTGCTCTATTTCCTGCTCACCTGGTCCATTCCGGTATATCTCATCAAACCTGCAAAAGAAATAAATGCATGCATGTTATGTGACGGTACGAAAGCACCTACATCTTATTCCTTCTGCTATCTTTGCTCTTCTTTCCTGATCTCTTTTTCGGAGCTCCTTGGCGTTGTCCGGGTCCTGCATTAGATACAATTGAGAAACGATTCAGCATGATCGTGAGCATGATAACAGTGAAAATGCAACCTGATGGAGACGTGTTAAAGCTGCTCTCACTTCGTAGTTGAGCTTCTGGAGAGCTTCAATGAGTACGCTTAAAGGCGGATGGTCCACGTCGATGGAAATTGTGAGCCGTCTGGAAAACTTTTGTATCATACACTCAAAAGGCCCTGCGGTTATTGATTACCTATGAAATGCTTCTGCTAAATCCGTGGTCCGCAGTTCCTCAAGGCCCCATTTGCACCAGAGATCTTCAAAAAAACCGCTGAAAGTGCTGAAAATCTTCACATTTTCTATAGGCGCCGTGGTCCGTGGGGACGAAGGGGGGGGGGGGG